TAAATAAATATTCTAAATAATACAAACTAAATTGCTATACTGATTTTATAAGTAGCAGTGTTCAAGACTCCATAAACTACAACCTCTTAGATGTGAAACAGAAAGGCATCCAACAACCCATCTACAATGACTGGGATCTGTGACGTAGAAGATTCAATTAAATTTATCAGTATCTTACCTCCAAAAAAATAGTTCAACCAAGAGTCCCGACTTCTTTATCACAACAAGATATCCGCCTTAAAAGAAGTTCAAAGGAAGAGTCTTAGCAATCTAATTAGCAAAGAAAGCTTCCCTATTCAGAGAAAGAAGTGTATTTCACATTAAAATTCGAAGACGTGACTAATCTACAATAGAAATCTATATATAACTTCTTTTGAAACGCCCTTGAAAAAAATAAAGATTCAGCTAGAAAACTTATAGGTCAGTTGAGTGACTTTTTATTTTTCAATCAATCTGATTTCCAACAGCCTATATAGTGCACCAACACTTCAGTAGAAATATCCCTATATAGAATACTCCCTCCATTCCATATTAACTTTAGCTTTGAGGTGTTTCACACCCTTTAAGAAAAGTAGGTTAGGACATAAATTGAACATAATTTTCCATTTTTACCCTTATTAATTATTGTCAAAAATAACTAAACATTCTAATTATAATAACTAATTCCAATACTAACTTAAAGGGTAAAATTGGAAGAATATTTTAAAAATAGTCTTGAAGATTGAAAACTTAAGTTAATTTGAAAAATGAAAAAGGGCTCAAAGCTTAAGTTAATATGGAATGGAGGGAGTAATGACTAAAATTTGAAGAGAACTTAAAAAACAAAAAAGAAGATGAAAGGGAAAAGAAACAGAATAGTTAAAGTTAAAGAGGAGCATACCTGGAATTGTAAATTTATTGAAAGGATGAAGAACAATAAGTATTTTTCTGCAAGCCAGGAGAAAACTAAAAGAAACGGTTAGTCTTTGTCAATCCTCAAGGAGTGGGGAGACAGTACAATAACGATATCATCCATGAAGTTTAGTTGTGAAATAGAACTGAAAAGGAATCTGAGCAAAAAAAATTAAATGGCCTGTGACGCACAAAAGTAATTTTAGCGTTTAGCACCATATGCCAAGAATATCTTGTGTACCCTTTGGTCATACTTACAAACTTCAGTACATAAATCAAAAAGTTTTATGGTCTAATGCAATTGAGATGAAGTGCCACCAAATTGCAGTCCATGGTACATCGAAAGAAATGTGCTAGTGTTGGGGCAAATCCATATATATCCCATGTCTTTTCAAAATTATCAAGAACAACTTCTTATAAGGTTATAGTCAATTAGCTGTGATATTCCTAGAAATAGAGTAGCAAGAATATTATGTTTTCTCCTTAGCAATGAAAAATAAGACTGCTCATAGTATTTCTTCCTTGTAAATATCTGAAATTTCTCTTTCTGACCAAAGCCATAATACACAAAAGTAGACAGAGTTGTTTACGATCAGGTGCTATACACAAAAGCAGACAGAGTTGTTTGCTTTTCGAGAGTCAAACAGTTTAAGTTTGATTAAGAATTTGCTCATGAAATCTTCAATTTTTTAAAAATGAAATTTATATATTTGTAAACTACATAAAAAGTACTATAAGTCTCAATAATTGATAATTCAAAATAATTAAAAGATATATGAAAAAATTACGGTCAAAGATAGACTTGTTTGAATCTCGAAATTCGAAATGTGTCACATAAATTGGGACAGAGGGAGTAATAACAAACGAAATATTTAAAATATAAAATATAACCCTGGAAAAAGTCGACTATAAAAATATATAATTCAAACGCCTCACTAATAAATGATTCCATTTCCCTTCTATATGTTGCACTCAGAACTCCAGTCATTGTCCCTCCAACATTTTTGTCATAATCTAGATCTATGAATGAGTATTTTACATTATCAAGAAATTTAAATGTCAATGATCCGATCCTATAGCATTATGATCAAACAGAATTACTTATACTTTGTGGAAACAGAAAATGTCAAAGCTTTATTTATATTTGAAAATAAATAAATGGAATTGTAAGCAAGCATAAATACCTAGTGAGCTTCGAGCAATAAGCAAAATAAGATGCATTCAAAAAAAGAAACAACATTTTTTACTTGCTAAGATCAAGGCGGGCCCAAGTAATCTCCGAACAGTAAGTTTTGTCCGTCTAGGATAAAGTATAAAGGATGGCAAACGCATGTCAGGCCACCCAGCTATGCCAATACTGATGAATCCTATAGAAGAAAAAGAAATCTTGAAGTCAATTTATGAGCATTGCATATTCATAAATGGTAATATTGTCAACATAACTGGATCTTTGAGAAAAGAGTATTGACTCCCAACAAAGAGAATATATAGCTCTCATAGACTGTACAGAACTTATTTTAGTGGGAAAATGGCTACAAAGCAGAAAGCAAATTGGTTGAAAGGAAGAAAATAGAGAAACTTAATAGCAAGAGGCAGACACAAAGAGAATTGTCGCAAAAGCAACCAAAATCATGTATGGAAAAGCATAATTAAGCGGACTTGTAGCTTTTACAAAAGATTACTAAATTTAAAATTAAAATTGTACATTGCAGGATGAAAGTTTTAAGTGTGGTACCTTTCAGAACACATGAAAATCCCACTATTACATTTTGGTAGATGTTTATTAATATACAAATCAACATTTAACTCTGAAATATACTCAACATGTGGTTACCTTAGGCATATTGACACCGCAGTAGTCAAGGAAACTCCATTCTACTTGCATTGTGAAATTGACAATTTCACTTTTGATGTAGTCAATAAAAGCTACGATTTGTCTGGCTTTACTTTCTAATTCAGGATGCTCAAAAGTGGAAGCTTAAAATAACCTCAGAGTGCCAGAACTACAAATTTGAATTTCATTTATATCTGCGGTACTGCAGCACTTCAATTAGTATCATACTAGAATCAGTGCCACACCACTTCAATGATATCATCCAAGAATAAGTTATCGTAACTCAACTCCATTTTACCTATGTATCTTCAAGGATGTATGAGCAAATGACGATTTGCATGCATACAGGATGATCGGAAATCCACAAGATACAACTCAAAAGAATAGACAAATTAATGGATACCAAAAAGAGGAACTAACATATAAGTACATCGCAAAAGGGGCAGTAAGTGAGTACAATAATCAGTAAAAGATTGTCAAAAAATCTCACCAAAACAAAGAGCTCCCACCTTAAAGATGACCACTACAAAGATTACCTCATGAACAATAATGAAAATCTTATGTCAGTGAGGTAGTCTGAAGTAGAGGAACGAAGAACTTTAATTACCATTAATCCACTGATGGAATCTAAGATAAGAGGTGGGTTCAACGAGAAACAGAATAATTGGGCCATGCAAGATATGAATTTTGATTGACGAAATTCACATTAGCACCAATATAAGAGGCACTATCCCACCACAATACATATATGCCAATAGAACGCAAAGGAGGAAAATATTCACACTGAACTTAGATTACATAAAGTATCATATAAACTCAGTGTCACACTACACAAGTACTTATACTTAGCAAACCATTTAAGTAACTATCAAACAAACACAATGATTCAGACTTTTGAAAAAATTAAAAATGGTGGTTCTAAATGACCTGATGAGTTGAAAAATTCCTTTTCGAGAGTTTTTGCTCTAAAAAAGAATCAATTTAGATAAAGCTAAGAAATTCTGGACTTCACATTATGTATTCCTATAACCTAATAAAGGTGATAAAGAGGCATGATAAAGGTGATAACAAGATGTGCTGGGAAGAAGGATGTACACAAAAACCTATTTAAAAAAGGTCAACAATTAGAAACTCTAAACCTCTCGGACTTTAGAGTCCATGGATCCAAGAACCTCAAATTCTCTGAGCAATGGACAGAAGACATATTTTTAACAGATATGTTGTGGACTATTAGGAGCTTCCAACTGGACCCACTATGTTATGCCCTTTAGTATGAAGTTCTCTTTTCAGAAAACCTTCGGATAACAATAGCTTGCAACAATCTAACTATCTAAGCAAGGTGTTTATAGTAAAAATAATCGGTCCATTAAAGAATATTTTAGGGAGAAAATTAAAGTCAATAAGACACATCTTTAATGCTAGTGTATCTGAAAAATGCTCAAAATAATCACACTTAAACCATGAAGTCCAATTAATCGATTAAAGCTTGATCCCTTGCCCTCTTCTTTGTCTTTGACAAAGTTCGTGGATGTCGAGAATCATCCAGGTGAGAAATATTTACTCAACTGCTAATGATTTAAGAATTTAGCAGACCCTTCAAGACATAACCATAATTTCACAAGGGTGAGTTCAGCGCTAAAAATCTTAGTACAGGACCTATCAAGCTTAAATGCTACATCCGCCTCCATTTATATAGATATCACACAAATCAACTTATTCCCACCATATTTGCACACTATTGTGGCATTAGTTGAAGCAGACATGTCTTAAAGAAGAGAAATAATAAGATTTTACCAATCTCTTTGTCATTTTCTATAGCGATAACAGAGAGATCAACCTTGGATTTGGTCTTACTCTCCTTCTTCTCAAGTTTCAAACTTTTTGACAACTGATTAACCCAGATATTGTTGTTTAAACTCCCTCTGAGCTTTGTTGAGCAATTAATAAGGTGTACAACTGTCAATTAAAGTGCTGAAGAGTTAGTTAAATTAACAGCAACAACTTGTTAGCATTAGTTAGTTAGTTAGACAACTAATCTGATTCTATAAATACAGAAGTTAGAGTCACAAAATCTACATAAGTCACATTAACATTGAGCTGTAGATTACAGCTTGTTCATTCTATGGTAATGAGAATTCTCTTTCAGTGCCTTAGATAAATTATTCAGATTGATTTACAATTCATTCAATTCTACAGAATTAACATGGTATCAGAGCAAGGACGACGGATCTAGGAATTTATTTCAGAAGAATTGATTTGTTTCGAAGCATTTCAGTTACGGGATTCTGTTTCGAAGCATTCTCACATGGCGATTGAGGAGGAACTAGGAGGATCGGAGGTCAGGCTTCAAGGAGAAGGTACCAATAGCAACACAATGGCGATTGATCATAATCATCCGCTATATTGAGCTCTTCAGATGTACCAGGAGCACTGTCCATAGGAATCCAATTAACAGGAATGGAGAACTATACTCTATGGAGTCAAGCTATAGAGATCGCTTTACTAGGAAGGAATACGATAGGATTCATTGACGGATTTGTTCTGCGAATGGATTTTGAAAGAAATTCGAGGAAGATTTGGGATCGATGTAACACAATTGTCATCTCTTGGCTCACATGCAATGTCAGCAAGAAATTATTTTCTGGAATCTTGTATTCAACTAGTGCTCATCAGGTATGGCTCGATCTTAAGAAAAGTTTTGATAAGATAAATGGATCTCGACTTTACCAATTGCACATGAACATATTCACTCTTACCCAGGGAGTTTCGACTGTCTCTGCTTATTTTGCAAAATTGAAGAATTTGTGGGATGAATATGGTTCAATTCTTCCCACACCTAGCTGTGATTGTTCTAAGGCTAAGGAGTTTGTGGAACAGATGTACTATCAAAGGTTATTGCAGTTTCTCATGGGCTTAAATGATAGTTATTCACAGGCTAGGGGGAAAATTCTTATGATGCATAATTTGCCAAATGTAAACCAAGCATATGCCTTAGTGATTTAGGATGAGAGTCAGAAAGGAATTGCAGGGGATATAGGAGAAGGAATGGATTCATTAGCATTGTATACTGTTAGATCTAACACACCTCAGCAGTTCCATCCTAAGCCTAGGAAGAATTATCAAAATCTGTTTTGCGATTTCTGTAGCATGAGAGGCCATGTTCGAGTAGACTGCAACAAGTTGAAAAAATGTGACCATTGTCATATCACTGGACATATAAAGGAGAATTGTTTCTTACTGATTAGTTACCCAGAAAATTTTAAAGGAAAGAGAAGGGCTAATGCAGTGTTGGGTGGAAGAGATCAACATTTTCAACAGCAAAGTTCACAGGATCATGCAATGCTAGAAGGAAGTTCTATGATACAGAGAAAGGCACACACTGCTATAGGAGAACATAAGTCGACTACTCAAGAGCAGCTATTGCAGCTCATGTATGATTCTTCACCAAAGCAGCTTCATCAGATGATTGACACGATAAAGAGAAACACGAATAATGTGGATACTCCAAGCAATGTCAACATGGCATGTACTTGTCACTCCTTGAAATGGATAATAGACACAGTGGCCACAGATCACATGATAAACAACCCAAATTATTTACATGTCAAGACTAAAGTAGGTGGCGTAGGAAATGTGCAACTTCCTACAGGTGACTTAGCTACAGTCTCACATGTTGGGAGCCTTCAGCTTAGTGAAAAGGATGTGATAAACGAAGTCTTATGTATACCAGCATTCAAGTTTAACCTTTTGTCTGTGAATAAATTGACAAAAGAGTTGAATTGTTGTGTTTCATTATTTCCTACACATTGTGTTTTTCAGGATCTCTTGTCTGGGAAGGTCAAGGTGATTGGTGAAGTTGAGGATGGTCTATATGTGTTGCACTAGACATCATATGGGCAAAAAAACAACATCAAAACACTGACAGCAGTTAGGAAAGAAGACAGAGATTCAATACTTTGGCATCAAAGGCTAGGCCATGTGACTATGAGAGTACTTAGGAAAATAAAGGAATTACATGTTCATGCTAGTTTTACTAATGACCAGTGTACTGTTTGTCCTCAAGCTAGGAAAACTAGAGTTTATTTTCCTGTAAGTAGTACTACAGTTAATGATTTTTTGGATCTAGTGCATATGGATGTCTGGGGTCCATATAGAATAGCTACTCACACAGGAATGCGATATTTTCTTACCTTGGTTGATGACAAGTCTAGATGGACATGGACTTTCTTGATTGTTTTGAAGTCTGATGTAATTGTTGTTCTTAAACAATTTCTAGCAATGGTTAAAAATCAGTTTGGGAAGTGTGTAATGATATTTAGATCAGATAATGGTGGAGAATTTGTAAATTCTAATTGTCATGATTTGTTTATGCTGCATGGTATTATTCATCAGAAGTCTTGTCCTCACTCTCCACAACAAAATGGAGTTGTGGAAAGGAAGCACAGACACTTGTTGGAGACTGCAAGAGCAGTGAAGTTTCAGGGTTGTCTTCAAAATGGTTTTTGGGGAGAATGTGTAGAAGTTGCTACTTATATAATAAACAAGATGCCTTTAACAGTTCTAGGAAACAAGTCCCCCTATGAGTTAGTATATAACAAGAGGCCCTCATTGGCACATTTCAGAGTTATAAGATGCCTTGCATTTGCTACAAATTTGAAGAAGGGTGATAAGTTTGCACCAAAAGCTAAAAATAACTGTGTTACTTCGGTATGTTGTAAGTCAGAAAGGTTATAAATTGCTAGATCTTGAGACAAAGGTCATCTTTATTAGTAGAGATGTCATTTTTCATGAAAAGGTTTTATCATTTCAAAAAGCAAGTCTTGAGGACACCACTGACTCAATATTTCTTATACTATCACATGTGGAAGATTGTGCACTTACACCATGAGTTATTTCTGCTACAGAGCAACCAGACATTGTTCCTGATCCTTCATATTTTGTTTTAGATACTAAAATTGTTCCTTCAGACACTGAGGTTGAGGTTATTTCATCTGTAGTACCACCACAGCTCTCTGATGTTATTAGAAAGTCCAACAGGCATGTAAAGCCACCACTTTGGCATACATATTATGTTCTGTCCAAGCAGAATAAATCAGCTAGTGCTTGTCTATATTCTATTGCTGATGCAGTAGGTTACCAGAGCATCACACTAACATACAGAAGTTTTGTTACAAAATTTTCCTTGGAAAATGAGCCTTTAACTTATCATGAAGCCATACAGGATCCAAGATGGGTTGAAGCTATGCAGAATGAAATTCTTGCTTTGGAGGATAATCATACTTGGAAGCTTACTCAGTTACCTGCAGATAAGAAAGCCATTGGATGTAAATAGGTCTATAAAATAAAATGCAAACCTGATGGAGAGGTTGATAGATTCAAGGCCAGGTTGGTAGCCAAGGGTTACAACCAAAGAAAGGGATTGGATTATCAGGAAACATTCTCGCCAGTTGTAAAAATGGGGACAGTCAGGGTTGTTCTTGCTTTAGCTGCTGCACATAAATGGCAAATCCACCAGATGGATGTTTTCAATGCTTTTCTTCAAGGGGATTTAAATGAAGAAGTGTATATGGACTTACCTCTGGGGTTTATCCATCAAAGTGAGAGGGGGACAGTGTGTAAACTCACTAAGTCACTTTATGGACTCAAGCAGGCTAACAGGCAATGGAATATCAAATTAACCACAGCTTTAGTCGACTCTGGGTTTCAACAAAGCCACTATGATTACTCCATGTTCACAAAGCATCAAGGACAAAATTTGGTGATGGTATTAGTAGTATATGTTGATGATCTACTGATCACAGGAAATGATCACAAGATGATAGTAGAAACAAAGAAAACTCTTCAAGATAATTTTAAGATCAAAGACTTAGGTGATTTGAGATACTTCTTGGGGATTGAATTTGCCAGAAGTGACACTAGAATCCTTATGCATCAAAGAAAGTATTCACTTGAATTGATTTCAGATATGGGACTTTCCAGCTCCAAGCGTGTTGGAGCACCTATTGAATTGAATCAGAAGCTTACAAGTGCAGAATTTGACTTGCACTTTCCTCCAGCTGATGAAAATGACAAACTGCTGAGTGATCCCAGTATGTATCAGAAACTAGTAGGAAGGTTACTCTACTTGACAATAACAAGACCTGATATTGCTTTTGCAACACAACTTCTAAGCCAATTTATGCATAGCCCCAAAACATCTCACATGGATGCAGCCATGAGGGTGGTGAGATATGTAAAGAATGCACCTGGATTGGGGATACTGATGAGTGCTAATGTTGATAATCAATTGACTGCATATTGTGATGCAGACTGGCATCATGTCCAAACAACAGAAAATCTATAACATGTTACATGATCACTTATGGGAGTTCTTTGATCTCATGGAAATCCAAGAAACAAGACACAATCTCAATGAGTTCAGCTGAAGCTGAGTACAGAAGTTTAGCTTCAACAGTGGCAGAGATAGTGTGGCTGGTTGGCCTCTTCAAAGAGCTAGGAGTAAAGATGGTATGTGCCTGTGTACAGTGACAGTAAATCTGCCATATAGATTGCAGCCAATTCGGTCTTCCATGAACGAACCAAGCACATAGACATTGATTGTCATTTCATTAGAGAGAAGGTTCAACTGGGAATGGTTCAACCTACATACTTGAAAACTACAGAGGAGCTAGCAAACTTGCTTACCAAAGGGCTTACTTGCATACAACATGCATACTTGCTTACCAAGCTAGAATGAAAAATATTTTTCATACACCTAGCTTGAGGAAGGATGTTGAGCAGTTAATAAGGTGTAAAACTGTCAACTAAAGTGCTGAAGAGTTAGTTAAATTAACAGCAACAACTTGTTAGCATTAGTTAATTAGTTAGAGTCACAAAATGTACAGAATTAAATGCTACATCCGCCTCCATTTATATAGATATCACACAAATCAACTTATTCCCACCATATTTGCACACTATTGTGGCATTAGTTGAAGCAGACATGTCTTAAAGAAGAGAAATAATAAGATTTTACAAATCTCTTTGTCATTTTCTATAGCGATAACAGAGAGAGCAACCCTGGATTTGGTCTTGCTCTCATTCTTCTCAAGTTTCAAACTTTTTGACAATTGATTAACCCAAATATTGTTGTTTAAACTCCTTCTGAGCTTTGTTGAGCAGTTAATAAGGTGTACAATTGTCAATTAAAGTGCTGAAGAGTTAGTTAAATTAACAACAACAACTTGTTAGCATTAGTTAGTTAGTTAACCAACTAATCTGATTCTATAAATACAGAAGTCACAAAATGTACAGAAAGTCACAAAATGTACAGAAGTCACATTAACATTGAGCTGTAGATTACATCTTGTTCATTCTATGGAAATGAGAATTCGGTTTCAGTGTCGTAGATAAATTGTTCAGATTGATTTACAATTCATTCAATTCTACAGAATTAACAAGCTTCTCCCCAAAAACCTCCTTCTCTCCATTGTTTAAGATGTCAACACTCGCCCTCCTCATATATACACTTCTGCAGACAATCCAAAAATCATCAAGCCCTCAAGATTGAGACTTATCAATGGGTCCAAATCAAGTAAATGTACTCTAATCCCCAAAAAAAATGGAAAACTACAACTATTCTCTAAGCAACCAAGAAAAGTATAGAATACAAAAAGAAAATAACTTTAAAATATGTTCAGTGACCACATTCAAGTAGCATGTTTGAAAACATAGCACGGAATTTCTATCACTGAACTATCTACCTTGTGTTTTATTTGTTCCATTATAAGATTATGAACTAACATGTGTGTGCTCTAAAATATACCAAGCCAATCTCGATTGCAACTACAAACATGAACATATGCTTTCTCATTAGACTATTTTAACCGATTGTATATGTCGATCTACACTACTATTCTTCTTATCTTCTGAATAACATCCTCTTTGTGTTATAGTTTAGCGGGATGTATACACAAAATGACTAAAAGATGAAGAGATGTCTATCTTGTTACCTATGAACCTCT